CGAACACAGAATCGAATACAGGATTAAACCAAATTGAAATTCAACTAGGAAGACCAAATCAACTAGTGACTAAGAATAGATTGATAAATAAACCAAAAGCTAACTAGCAAAGTATAGAGGCGAGAGATTTGAAATCCTAGAAATTTGTATAAAATCGAAACAATAGCTGGAATCGATGATTAAACGATTTTGAGATCGAATCAGAAAACTTAGATTTGGGAACTAATGAATCCGAGGATGGATCTAATTCGAGCATGTTTCCGATAGATGTAGTGAAGAAGTATACCTAGAATCTCGGCGGCGCCGATCGGATAAAGCGGGAATCGGGGACTGAGAGACAAACCCTAGAAGCCCAGAACGGAGAGAGAGAAGAGAGAGAGAGAGAGAAAACAGTTCCAGCGAAAAAGGGAAGAGAGAGAAGAGAGAGGTGGTAAGAGAAGATTGGACTTAGATTAAATATTAAAAAAAAATTTCGGCAAAATTAATGAACAATTATGTAAATCTTTGACGGCTGCAATTTATGGATTCTTCTAATTTTGAAATTTGTTTTCAATTTAAGGGTTTGTTAAGTGAATCATTAGTTTAGGAAATACAGAATATAGATATTTATACAATATTAATATTCAAATTACCCGAAGAATTTTTATCTGGTGTAACCATATCGTACATCGAGTGTTGGGTGGTCCTTATCTGACCCCACCTAAAATATTCTCAATCGTTTCCATTTGCTGACATCGCTGGATAATCAACGGTCCAGATTGTTAGAGATGTTTTACAACGAGATCTGAAGAAGAAGATTTATCCTTCTGTCTTCCGAAGCGGAGAACAAAAGGTACAAAAATAAAATAAAATAGTACTAGCTTTACATCAAGTCTATGCAATAAAGCAAATTTTACAAATAATAATAATAATACATTATATAAACACACTTAATTTTATAAATTTATAAATTATAACTAATCAACAAAAATTAATTTTACAATATGATTACAAGGGCTGAAAAACATGAAGGGCCACAAGCCAGAGAGAAAATCATATTAAACTTTATTAAGTTTGCTGTCAAAGAAAATAAGCTTTATTGGACTATGAATTTCTCTCTATGGTTCAATATATAGTAACCAATAAAACGAGTTACTATATGCAAATGCACAGAATTGAGGAAACAAATAGTCTTCTTGCTCAAACACAAGCAATGTAAGAAAGAAAGGTCAGAAAGCATCTCTGTTTCAAAAACCAGTTTTGAGACATTAAAAACACACTTCAGAGATTAAAAAAAACTCTAATTGGAATAATCCATCTACTCTCGCATAGAAGACCACTCTAATTCACAAAGATCAAGAGGCGAGTTTCCTTCCATCTTCGTCTTTAATGGTTACATCAGCTTTTTGCTTTACTAGAAACTCTCACACACACCAGCTTAGTGTAGAGAAGTCTGGCCTTCATTGTCCTTGCATAAAACAAAATTATAGCAGCAAGAAAGAACATAAATCTGGATTTCTGGTGAAAGAATTGGATAACAGTTTTTTTTTTGTAAAATTTACTTTAGCATTAACATCGGCGTTCCTATCAACCAGAGCTTTAGCAACATTCAGGTGGCCACGGTCTATAGCCCAAAGCGGTGTTCAACCTTTACTGTCTGGAAGTTTCATGGAGAAACCGTGAATGTGAGATCCCGCTCTCTTCTTTCTTTCCGAAATCAGACGGACTGACTATCAAATATATGAGGATCCGATTTCATCTTTCATCTGGATTGGCTATCACCTCTGAACGTCCCAACCGTCTCTTCCAGTGAGTCCAACGCCCTTTTCTGGGCTCATGGGCCCAACGTTCTCTCTCTTGGTCCAAATGACAGTCGGTGCGTTAGTCCAGGAAGTTCGTAAGACTTGTCTACTGTTCCTGTAATCACCACATGATCTTTTCTTTGTGTTTTTTCTTCGCTCACACGGTACCGTGGACCACTTCCCGATAGTCACTCATTCTGAGATTGCTCATAGCTCAAACACGCTTAACTTTGGATTCTCTCAAAATCAATGCCTGAAAAGATAAGTGCACTTTGATGACATAGGTAATCAAATCAATTCTTATAAGCATGTTTCTATATACTAGAAATTAGGATGTTACAGTGAAATTCTCCAAAGCAAATGGGAACATTTATGAAATGATATAAGTATATGTAAAAACTTATCTCTTGCATTTACGAAATAGGAAAAGCTCCCAAGTACTTATAAAACTCAGGCATGTACTTGCCAAAATCTGGACCTGCTGCATATGCAAGAGCACCAATGGAAAGCATGGCTTCCTCATGGCTTCCAATTACAATATCTAAATCGAGTTATCAATTTTGATTGAGTTTAGATTTAATCTGTTTTGGACTGGCATTATATTGATTGTTATCTGTTTCATCATAATTTTCCTCTATTTCATCATATTTCAGAATATATGCTTTGCTTTTCATAGATTCTATCGAACTCAAAATAGTTTCAATAAACTGTTGTTTAGTTGTTAAAAAAGTTGTCGCAGAAAAAGAAGAAAAATTCATGAATATAAAGAATCTTATTCTTGGAAGATTCAGAATAGAAACACACATACGTTATTAAGAAAACAATTTAATTTTCTATTTTACTCCTTATATTATATATGGACGCTGTGCCATACTACTCTCATAAAAAAAAAAAATGGGACATACTCTCATTTTTGTTTCCCCATATAAATTCCCCAAATTATCTTTTTTTAAAAAGGACATCGATTTTTTATTATTTACAGTTTTTGACATTTTATAATTTTTTTAAATTTCAATTTGATTTGTTTTTTTTAAAACAGAAAGCCAAATTTAAAAAAAAAACCTGCAGCTCCTCCCCTCTTCTTTCTTCCCCGACGATCAATGTCGAGCACACCCACATTGAACACATCGAGCTGATTCTGTAAACCATCATTGAAGCTGATTTTTCCTTCTTGTTACAATCAGGTTTGTTCTAAGCTTTAGAAAGATTAATGCAAATCCTTTAAATGCATTGTTTAGTTGATTTAGGGATGAATACAAAATTTGTTCGATAATTTGGTTTGATTTTGAATTAGTATCCGTCTTCACTGTCTGGGTCGATTAGGACATAAGTTTTGGTTGAGTTACATTATATTGAATCAGACTGTTTTGTGTTTTTGGTTTGAATGTTGTGTCGGCATTGAAGCTCCAGATTTGATATAACTGTTAGAACTAGGTATTACTGATTTCCTTGTCATTGACTCCATCTTTTCATCTACATCATTCAATGTTACTTTCTTCTTCCCTTCACCAAAATGCTTTTTAACAAACTTACTACTATCGCCGTCTAACTTTTCGTAGTTTTCTAGATAGCTTCGACAGTTCAATCTAGAAATAAGTCTTAACTCTTTCACAGAATACCGGATGGACACCTCATTCACTACAAACCAGTATTTCTTCTTCTTTCTTGATGACACCATCCGTAAAAGGAGCATCCACATCCCCTGTGATTTATGGTTTTATTCCAAGTACATGTGGAAGAAGTGCTTGAACTGAGGATGCGTTTTCAACCACCTCAACTCTCTAACATCTAGCACTTTTTCCAAAGTTTTCACAACTTTCTGAACATAGCACCTTCTTGACAGCTTGATGTTCATATTTTACTTACAGGGTTCAAAGAACATATTCGCTGGTGGTATAGCTTGGAATCGATGAGTTTATCATATTTATTGTTTTATCAGAATTTGAAGACAAAATGTCATGACCAATTTTTGTACAATCATTTTTCTTTTCTTTCTTATAGTCTTTTAAATCTTAGAACTAGCTATATGAGTCTCTATTAATCTTAGCACAACTCTATTCATAGGAATCGGAGAGATTTGAGAGACTAGGAGAAAACAACTTAAACACTAAAACAAATTCACTACTAAATATTACTACAACTGACAAACTCTTACTACAAGCCACCTCACCTCTTTTTAAAAGAGTCGTCACTTTTCTTGGGTTTTTTTAAAAGAGTCGTCACTTTTCTTGGGTTTTTTTGGAGGAGAAGTTTTTTTCACGCAAGACATTGGAGATGTCCCCATTTTTCTATCTAGGTCTGAACCTTTCTCTGTCCCTGCTAGTTCTTTTCTGGGTTTGTTACCTAACTTCGTTTACTTCATTGATTTCGATGAAACCGCATTTGCTGATCTGAATTTTGGTTACATCGCTGGTGCAACTAATGCTACACTCCCGGCACCTTACTATATCCCACCTCAAAATATAGACTGGTAGTTTGGAAGTCAGATCGATAATTTATTCAGCTCGTGGAAGAAAGTGGCCATTTATTAGCATATGAATAAAAGAATCAAACTTTCTGATATCGAAAGAAAACCATCTAAAGCAATGGGATCAACCCTATTTTTGTGAAGCACCAGAAATGTTAAACCATGTTACATCCTTGTTGAACATATATCCATCGTGAAACCAATGAATATTTACATACACAATAAACAACAACATGTGAGCATTGCATCCTCTATGTTACCTGAAACATTCTATTGACACGTTCCCTCATGTTTCGTTTACTACGGTTGTTGGTATCTGAAACCGATCCGAACCGGGTATATCGGATCGGTTCCGGTGTGGATTTTCGGATCCGGTTAATATGCCGAGGCCTAACCTGAATATTAGTTTGATGAATTGTTACTCCCATTAACATTTAAAATATGGTGATTCAACAAGCCTATTTCTCAAAACCTTAAACAAGGGTTTGAATTTCAACTCCAAAATACTATTAAGGATAAAAAAAAACATCACTAGGATTTGAAAAGCTATATGTAACTCTTCAAAATCAAGGAGACGACAAACAAACAAAAATGTATCAAATATGGTCCTTTACCATTTTCATTTGATCTCCATGTTCCCCAAACTTTAAAAGTTAAATGGAAACGTTTTAGGACTAGACAATCCCGGTTTATAGTTCATGTGGTACAAAACTGAGAAAAAAATCTGATTTTTTAAGTTTTGCTGTCAAAGGAAAAACGTATTGAGCTTTATTGGGTTATGATGATCTCTCTCTCTCCCTCTCTGGTTCAATATAGTAACCAATAAAAACCAGTTACTATATGCAGATGCATAGAATTGAGGAAGCAAATATCTTCTTGCTCAAACAGAAGCAAACTAGAACTAAGAAGTAAGGTAAAAAAAGCATCTCTGTTTAAAAAAAAAAGTTTTGAGAGATTTAAAACCACACTTTAGATACTAAAAACTCTAATTGAAATCCCTCTGCTCTCGCATAAAAGACCACTCTGATTCACAAAGATCAAGAGGCGAGTTTCCATCTTCATCTTTAATGGTTGTATCAGCTTTTTGCTCTACTAGAAACTCGGCGAGAGCTTCTCTTTCGCACATAACAGCGTAGTGTAGAGAGGTTTGGCCTTCATTGTCCTATACACAAAAAAAAAGTTTGTCAGCAAGAAAGAAACATATAAATCTGTATTTCTAGTGAAAGAATTGGATAACAGTTTTTTTACTTTAGCATTAACATCGGCTTTCTTATCAACCAGAGCTTTAGCAACATTCAGGTGGCCACGGTCTATAGCCCAATGCAGCGGTGTTCTTCCTTCACTGTCTGGAAATTTCCCAAGATGGAAGAAACCATGAAATTCTCCAAAGCAAATAAGGAACGTTTGTGATATAAGTAGAGAGACTAACCTCTTGCATTTACGGGTATGCCATTTTCTATGCATTTCAGTAGATTTTCCACTTCTCCTTCTCTAGCAAAGGCGTGAACTGCATCAATCTTCCTGAAACATGAAAAGAAAAGAACAAAAAGCAAGAATGAACAGAGCTTCTGCAAAAAACTAAATTACATCCCCAATGTTTCTTTGATCCATGGATATATAAGTTGTTAAACTTTGTACATAAGTGGTATGAACATGAGGTCAAAATTATAACATCTAAAGAGTCTTTCTCTGATCTCGTCAAGTATTATTAACCATGTAGAGAACTCGGGAAAAGAGTTCAAAGAAATCAGAATTTGTAGCTAAATTGCTTAGAACCTTACAACTCATTTTCGGATTCCTCTTCATACACCAATGAGCTAAAAACAGGTCCCATGGCTGCTCTAGAGTTGGAGCCTGAAGCATCACCACTACGATTTCTTCCTTTCTAAAACGTCACAACAAAGAAAACAAACCAAGAATCAAGTTAGAGATTTAACAAAGGAAACAGATCATCCATAAACAGTCCAAGGAAATGAAAAATAGCAGAAGATGTAAAAGGACAAGTACCGAGCCACCTTCTACCCAAGCAGGGTACAACTGAGTAACAAGATCGATATACTTCTCCATTGCTTCCTCAGGAGGCATAGCACCCAGTTTCTGCCATGCTTGCCTACAACAAAAGATCATGACTAGTCTCAGTCAATAAAAAAATGCATTCCTAAACATACAGAATACACCAAAATCTGCAACATAACCCATAGTTCATCAATCAATACAACAACAAAAGCAACTCTTTTTTATACTTTCCTGAAATCAAGATGTGAACTTTCTTTGTTTTATGTTATTTTGATTGATCAAGATGTGAACTTGGTGACATCAAAGATACACCCATGACTCCAATATGAAGAAACACGAATTACCTCTTACGAAAACATGGTCAATCAATCATCTTCATAGCCAAAACATTCGAAGCACACACACAGAAAAAAGCTTTAAAATTTTGTAAGTTGAAGAGACAAACCACTTGGCACGAGCAGTCATTTTGAGAGCTGAAGGTTGTGGAGCAGTACAAGGTCCTTCAGTGGCAATCTTGTAAAACCCGTAAAGCTGAAGTTGCAAATCGTTTGATACTTTCTGTGAAAGCCGGTCCGATGCAGCAGCAGCCACAAAGGCCGTCGCAGCACTGAATGCCTCGTCAAGCTCTGTACTTTCCACACCTTCCCAATCGTCGTCTTCATCGTCATCATCATCATCTTCATCACCTCTCAAGCTACCTTGCTCCGCCACGAGAGAATCCGTCTCGCCGCCAATTCCGGTTGAAGATTCGACCTTACGATAATCATTCTCCGATTGGGTCTCGTGGTTGCGAGTGAGGGAGAGATTCTCGTCTTTAAACGCGACGAGGATAGAGATTAGCTTAGCGAGAAGGTAAGCGAAGATCAAACCCAAGATAACAGACTGAGCAAGCTGGTACCAATCACCCATTTCTCCAAATCGGAAAATACCAAAAAAAAAAACGAACGAGATTCAAAGACACCGAACACGAAATCTGAGTGAAGAAACGCTTAATTTCAGTGAAGGGTCACAAGAACGCAATCTCCAGAAACAAAAAGGACGTTCCTTTTTTGTTCTTGTTTTCACCGCTTCACTCAAGAATTCGTTCTGTTTTTTTTTACGTTTATTATTATTATTTCTTTCTCATTCTGGGCTTTTCTTTTGCTGAAGACAAGACGCCAGAGAATCACACAGAAGACAGAAAATGCCCAACACAACCTTAAATTGCTGGTTCGGATATAAAGTCTTTACTTTTTTGGTTTTTTTTCTTTACGGATTCGAAACCGGATGGTTTGGCCATTCAAACGGTATAGCCTCAATCACAGAGTAATAATCTGTAGCAATGATCAAGTGATAATAGAGATCTCTCAGGCTTTGTAAGGTCCACAAGATAGTTTTTTTTTTGGTAAAATGTCACAAGATAGTTCTGCTTCTGCAACCAACCTATTTTCCGAAATACGAAAAGCTTCTCTTGCGTGATCAATGACATAATCCAAATGATCTCTAGTTAACCAAATGGAGGAGTTTTACATTGTTTAAAACATTGTTTTCTATCTTTCCATATACCAAGGAGAAGTCTTTACCTGAAACAGAGTCTCTCTCAAAGACTCCTTCGAAGATTGGACCTAGTGACCAAATGAAACTGGGCCAGAAGAGTTTTCAAAAGGGTAGGGGTCTCTCTTGCAAAACATTTCAAAAGGGTCTCTTCCTCTAAGTTGTTTGAGTTACAAAGACGCCTTCAAGCAGTCTCTAAGAATAAGAAATCTATGGTAGAATACCTCGATGAGATAAAGAGTGTTTGTGATCAACTATCTTTACTTAGGAAACCTGTTCCAGAAACGGTGAAGATTTTTACTGCGTTACACGGCTTAGGTAAGGGATATGAGCCCATTAAAACGAGGATTGAAGAGGCTATGGATTCCCACCAAGGTCAGACCTATGAGGATGTTGTTCCCAGACTCATTAGCTACGATGATTGGCTTCGAGCTACAATGTCCCACCACATTTGGCTTCTGATGGAGCCTCTGGTTTCTACAGCAACAACAACAACCGTGGAAAGGGAAACAGAGGCAGAGGCAACTTTTGTACAAAAGGCAGAGGTTTTCACCAGTAAATCTCTTCCTCCTCAAGCTCTAATGGTGGTTTAGTGTGCCAAATCTGTGGCAAAATGGGGCATTCTGCACTTTAAGTGTTGCCAAAGGTTCAACAATAGTTACCAATATAATGGACAAACCAAGTGCCTTAACCGCAATGCACATCGTTGAGGTTACTGATTTGCCACATTATGACGTTAATGCCTCAAGTTTCTTACCAATGTCCAAGTTTCTTACTAGTCTTCGAATTTCATTCCAATGTAATATAATAACAGGGAAGAAAAAACAAAAATAACAAGGAACTATGCATTACCTTTCCTTAAATTAAAATCCAGAAGCAGCCATAGAGAAAAACAAAAGGCCTTCAATTTTCGAAAGCATTAAAAAAAGAAAGCTAACGAAACCCTACCAAGAAAATGTACTTATAAATCATTATTACCATATGGACGATAACAAACAAAGACAACCTAAGCTTTTTTTCCTTCCCTTTCTCCTCCTCTTCCAAGATCATTTTCCTCCTGCAATCTCCATCTCTGCAATAAGTCGGTTCTTTTCGCCTCCTGTTTTAGAAAGAGCAAAGTTTTCAACTTTTGCTTCAGATGTGAGGTCTTCCTGTCTCTTAACTCGTCCTAGTGTCGTTGTGCTTCATCTGGTTGAGGCTCTGTCGTAGCTTGGCATCTGCTTGGTCGTCATCAGTTTTGCTGAGGTATTTGTCGACCTGAGATGCAGCTTGGCGTCCTTCTGAGATGGCCCAGACCACCAAAGACTGTCCTCTTCGACAATCACCTGCAGCAAAAACACCTTCCACTGTTGTTGAAAACCGGCCATACTCTGCCTTAAAGTTCGACCTGTTGTCACATTCGAGTCCTAGTTTCTCGGCAAGTGTCTGTTAAGACAAGAAAAAGCAAAGGTTATCAACATTCAATCATTAGGACAACGACGTAGTGAGAAAAAAAGAAGAGGGTACACAAAGGATCACTTACTGGCTCAGGTCCAAGGAATCCCATGGCTAAGAAAACAAGGTCCGCTTCAATTATTTCCTCGGAGCCTTCGATCTCCTTGAATTGGAACCTCCCGGTTTCATCCTTCTCCCAACTCACGCGCACAATCTCTAGCCCTTTCACGTTTCCATTGTCATCTCCTATGAATCGCTTAGTTAAGACCTCATAGGTTCTAGGGTCCTTTCCGAATTTGGTCGCTGCTTCTTGATGTCCGTAGTCAATACGGAATACACGAGGCCACTGTGTTCACAATAATACAAGGAAGTCAATGAAAAGATCAACAATTTTCAAAAAACTTGGTCAATAGTTCTTTAGTCTATGGATGCATATATATGATTGTGTGTACGAGAACTGAAACAAACCTGTGGCCAAGGGTTTCCTGGAGCTCTCGTTGAAGGTGGCTGAGGAAGAAGCTCTAGGTTTACAATGTTGGTGCATCCATGGCGGATAGATGTTCCAATGCAATCTGTGCCCGTATCACCTCCACCAATAACGACAACCTTTTTCCCCTTTGCGGAAATGTAATTGCCATCTTCAAGATTGCTATCAAGCAAGCTTTTGGTGTTTGCATGAAGAAACTCCATGGCAAAGTGAACACCAGATAGCTCACGACCAGACACTGGAAGATCTCTGCAAATTACCGACAACAATGTCTCAGTTGAATCACTATAATCCGCTTAAAATTCTGGCAACATAGATTGCGATTTTCCATTGTTTAAACAAACATTTACCTTGGTTTTGTGGAACCAACAGCAAGAACGATTGCATCATTCTCCTCCTTAAGTCCATCCAGGGAGAAAGACGGGTCTTTTCCAATATTGGCATTGACCACAAAGTTGATACCTTCTTTGGTCATAAGATCAACCCGACGTTGAACTATGTCAATTTTGTCAGTCTTCATGTTTGGGACTCCATACATCATAAGCCCGCCAATTCTGTCAGCACGCTCATACACGGTTACCGAGTGACCCATTTTGTTCAGCTGGTCAGCAGCAGCCAGTCCAGCCGGCCCACTTCCGATAATTGCAACTTTTCTCCTGCAAAACCAAAAACAGCAGAAGCATGTGAATCCACCACATGTAAACTCTACCTAAACAATGTATGTGAGACTTGCAACAGTGGAAGATAAGATAGCTTGCTAAGAGAATAGACTTAGAAGTATACCCTGTTCTCTTGAGAGGAGGTCTTGGTACCATCCACCCTTCATCAAAGGCTTTATCTATGATAGCACATTCGATGCTTTTGATAGAAACAGGGTTCTCAATTATTCCAAGAACACAAGAACCTTCACATGGTGCAGGGCAAACTCGCCCAGTGAATTCGGGAAAGTTATTTGTCTCAAGTAGACGGTTCAACGCTTCTTGCCATCTGTTCTGGTAGACAAGTTCATTGAATTCAGGGATCTTGTTACCAAGCGGACACCCAGAGTTCTCCTGTAAATTTTTCAAAAGTAAAATGTTGAGCATTTCATTTATGCATCACCTTGACATATAACAACCAAACCTGTCCTAAAAGAGCAACCAAAAGAAGACATGGAAAGAGGAAAAAAGGCATTTTATGATCTGTGGAGAAATATGTACCTGGTGGCAGAATGGAGTTCCACAGTCCATGCAGCGAGCAGACTGAGTTGTAAGGAGCGGTCCAGGTTTTGATTCCTCCATGACTTCGTTCCAGTCATGAAGACGAACATTAGGGTCCCTGTACTTAACTCCCTCACGTTCATAAGCAATGAAACCACGATGTTTAACAGCATCATTTACCAGAGAAGGTTTCTTCGGAGCTTCAGCTGCCACGCCGTTTCCTGACATCTCCTCTTTTGAAGAGGCAGCTGCCATGTTCTTCAGCTCTGTAAAGGCGTCTTTCTCCTCTAGTTCTTTCTCTTCCATCTCGTCAGCTTCTTCAGAAGCACGCTCTATGGCTTGATTCGAGACCTCTTCATGTTTCATGGCTGATAAAACACGTTTGTAATCTCTTGGGAAAACCTTGACAAACTTCGGTACCAAATTCTCAAAGTCCGCAAGAACTTCTTGAGCAAGTTGGCTGTCTGTGTGTCGCTGATGTTGCTGGATCATCATTTTTAGCGTCATTTTGTCGTCTTCATCTTCAACTTTGTCCAGATCAACCAGTTCAAGGTTGCATCTCGTGTGAAACTTTCCATCCACATCAAGGACATAAGCAATACCACCACTCATACCAGCAGCAAAGTTTCTACCAGTCTTTCCAAGCACCACAACAGTACCACCAGTCATGTACTCACAACCATGATCACCAACACCTTCCACAACAGCTTTGGCACCAGAATTACGAACAGAGAATCTTTCAGCAGCCATCCCATTAAAGTAGGCTTCACCACTAGTGGCCCCGTAAAGTGCTACGTTACCGATAACAATGTTTTCTTTTGGATCAAAGCTGCTTCCTTTAGGAGGGTAGACAACGACTTTTCCTCCGGAGAGACCTTTTCCAACATAGTCGTTGCTATCACCCTCCAGTTCTAGCGTAATTCCAGGACACAGGAAAGCACCAAGACTCTGCCCAGCACTTCCTTTGAACTTGATATGAATTGTATCCTTTGGTAGCCCAGCCAAGTGATAGCGTTTGGTAACCTCATGGCTCAGCATAGTCCCAACAGCACGGTTGACGTTGCAGATAGGAGTTTCAATGTACACCGGAAGAGATTTCTCTAGAGCAGACTTGGACAATGCAATAAGCTCTTGATCCAAAGCCATGTCTAAGCCATGATCTTGTTTCTGGACACAGTACTGAGCAGCCCCAGGACGAATCTCAGCAGCGGGTTTGAGCAAAAGAGAGAGGTCAATGTTCTCCAGCTTATCATTGTTCTTGACCACTTCCCTGTCAAGTTCAAGCATATCTGCCCGACCAATCATTTCAGTTAGAGTTCGGAAACCAAGTCCAGACATGATCTCCCTAACTTCCTCAGCAAGCATAAAGAAGAAATTAATGACATGTTCAGGCTCCCCAGCAAATTTTTCACGGAGAACTGGATCTTGAGTAGCAATTCCCACAGGGCAGGTGTTCTTGTGGCATTTTCTCATCATGATACACCCGAGTGTAATAAGGGGTGCAGTACTAAAACCAAACTCTTCTGCACCAAGAAGCGCAGCAACTGCAACATCTCTGCCAGTTTTCAGTTGGCCATCTGTCTGAAGAACAGTACGACCACGAAGGTCATTAGCGACAAGAGTTTGGTGTGTCTCAGCTAGACCAAGTTCCCACGGAAGACCAGCATTTTTTATACCGGTCCAGCGAGATGCACCAGTACCTCCATCATGACCTGCTATCAGAACATGGTCAGCGTGGCCTTTCACCACACCGCTAGCAATAACTCCAACACCAGCTTCCGATACAAGTTTAACACTAATACGGGCCCCAGGGTTGGCATTCTACACGAGATAAGAGTAAAAGATGTGACACAAAAATCAAAGGAGTACACAGAGACAATGCTACGTAATGTAAGAATTGAGAAAGCTTTTATGGGAACCTTAAGATCATGAATTAGTTGGGCAAGATCCTCGATAGAGTAGATATCATGATGAGGAGGTGGACTGATAAGCCCCACACCGGCGGTGGAATTTCTGGTGATAGCGATGTCTCCTATAACCTTGTGGCCAGGTAGCTCGCCTCCTTCACCAGGTTTAGCACCCTGTAAAGAAAGTATTTAGAAACTTGAAAAGCATACAGATGCAATATTAAACAAAACTTTTGACAGTGCACCTCCGTGCAAAACGCATTATTTGCTATGACTCCGTAAACAAAAAATATGCCCAGTTCCAGTAGGAACATAGGGACGTAGAAACGCAAAGATGTGCATAAGTTATGAGAACGAGAGAACACTTTATCAAATAATATCCAAAGGTACCTGAGCCATCTTTATCTGCAGCTCATCGGCATTAGTAAGATAGTAGCTCGAAACTCCAAATCTTCCACTAGCAATTTGTTTGATGGAACTTCTTTTCGGATTCCTTGAACCATCTGGAAGAGGCTCCATACGGGATGGCAGTTCCCCTCCCTCACCTTAAGCACATCATAAACACGTGTTACTAAGTTTTTTAGAAGAAGAATAAGGGAAATCCAAAATTATGAACTTAAAAAAACAAATAATACCTGTATTGGACTTTCCTCCAAGTTTGTTCATGGCCATTGCAAGGGTTGTATGCGCCTCCAGTGATATTGATCCATAACTCATGGCGCCAGTGCAGAACCGTTTAACGATTTCACTGGCAGGCTCCACTTCATCTAGAGGAATCTTTACATCTGCTTCTTTGAACTTCATAAACCCGCGCAAGTTACTTTGCTTGTTCAATTCATTTATACGCTTCGAGTATTCTTTGTAGGCAGCGACACTGTTAGTCCGTGCTGCCTCTTGCAGTTTTGCAATCGCCAGAGGATCATTGAGATGAATCTCCCCATTTTTCCTCCAGTGATAGTTCCCAGGGTTGGAAAGTGCCGAGGCTTCAGCACTTCCAGGGGCATAGCCACGGGCTGGAAAGGCCATCTCATGCAAAAGAAGCGCATCTCGTGCAAGCATCTCAAATGTTGCTCCTTCCACTCTGCTTGGGGTGCCAGCAAAACACTTCTCTATTACTTCAGACGAAAGCCCAAGAGCTTCAAATATTTGAGCACCCTTGTATGAGGCCAGAGTAGAAATTCCCATTTTGGCAAGAACCTTCATCATTCCATAGTTACTGGCCTTGTAATACTTCTTGACCAGCTCCTCTTTCGAATGGAATTCCCCATTAGATTTGGGTGGTATCTTGCCATCGACCTGCAATCTAAAAACGGCCTCAACAGCCAAATATGGGCAAATAGCATCTGCTCCGAATCCGACAAGTGTGCAGAAATGATGCACTTCACGTGGTTCAGCAGATTCCACTACCAAACCAACTTGAGTGCGCGCAAGTGTCTTAACCAGGTGGTGATGGACGGCACCAACAGCCAAGAGAGAGCTCACAGCAACTCGCGTAGCGGAGAAAGCTAGAAAGCCAAAACATCAAAAAAAAGAAAATGTAAGAGCATGGCAAAGAATTGAAATGGAAGTACGCTTACAGATCCTAAAGTCAGAGTTTATAAGGAAGCCAAATGATCACCTCGATCAGACAAAACCAGTAATGTGTAGCCCTCCTTTATCGCTTCATTTGCTTCATCACAAATTCGGTCCAATGTCTTCTCCAACCCTTTTGTACCTTGGTCTTTTTGATACGTTATATCAAGAACTTTAGTCCTCCAGCCTCTGTAATTCATTTTCTTGATTGATTCCATCTCTTCTATGGTCAAAAGAGGACCTTTTAGGGAGAGACGGTGACATTGCTCTTCAGTTGTTTCGGTTAGATCACCTTCTGGACCGATCATGCACTCCATTGAAGTAACAATTTTCTCACGAATGGGATCGATTGGAGGATTGGTTACTTGAGCAAACATTTGCTTGAAGTACTCAAAACATAATTTCTCTCTGTTTGACATCACAGCTAAAGGAGTATCATTTCCCATAGAACCAAGTGCTTCAGTGCCATCTTTAGCCATCGGAAGCAGCAGCATTTCCAAGGCCTCAACTGTATAGCTGCACAGGTAATCAGATAGCTTGAGACAAATTACAAAGAAAACAAATCAATACATTTTAGGAAGAATAAAAGTTCACATACCCAAAGGCTTTTAGTGGAGACAATAAACCATGAATGCCCATGCTCTCCATTGAGTCATCATCATCAGACGCCTAAGTTTCAAAGACAGAGATTAACCAACCATAATAGAGGAACTGAAAGTTCTATTTTTAGGGGATTAGTTTAGCGACAGCTTACCGGTACAACCCCAGAAATTGGAGAAGCAATCCGTTCACTCTCCGGAACTGACTTAATGATGTCTTTAAGTTCAATCTTTTGCCTTTCAAGCCATTCACCATACGGCCTTGCCTGTGAATACTGTTGCTTCAAGGCATCGTCATCAACAACAATATGCTTCTCAAAATCGACAAGAAGCATCATGCCCGGGTTAAGCCTTCCTTTCCTCATCACATCTTCAGGCGGTACATCCACTACCCCAACTTCACTAGCCATGATAACCCTTCCACTGTGGGTAATGTAGAACCTACCAGGACGAAGTCCATTACGGTCCAATGTGGCACCTAAGTAGCGACCGTCGGTAACTGCAAGACGTTCAACATAGTTAAATCAAATCAAAGACTGCACGGCAAAAGTAGTTGAGAACTTATGTACAACTTCAGAATAGTTATTACATGAGATGAGAGCAGGTCCATCCCATGGCTCCATTAGGGCAGATAAGTATTCATAAAATGCTTTCCTGCTTGGATCTATGTTTTTGTCATTCTGCCATGCTTCTGGGATCATCATCATAACAGCTTCAGGAAGACTTCTGCCAGCTCGGACAAGAAGCTCAAGAACACCATCAAAAGCACCTATTACGGTTAACAAGAGAATAGAGAAACATGTCACAGGTCCATAACTAAGCATAGCTTTGATAAACGAATGAGTTGTACTTTTCCGCACAGAGAAATAGTTGAGAGCGGTAGTTACCTGAGTCAGAAGAGCTAACATCCACAATAGGTAGAAGCTTCTTCAACTCGTTCTTTGATAAACCAAGTTCCTTGCACTTAAGCAGGCCCTCACGAGCCCTCATCCTGCGTGGAACAAAGATTCATTAACCAATTGAAATGAACATGAGGCAGAAACCATTAACCAGGCACTTGCATACCAGAGTTATCACACAATCGCTTGCAATATATACCAAAAATCACTGATCGCAACCCAAAACTTTTCTAGCCAAGGCAACAACACAGGTTTCTTGAAGGCATTACATTAAAGCTTTAATATATGCAATCTCTTACAACATACCAGTTCACGTTTCCTCTAAGCGTATTAATCTCCCCGTTGTGGCCCAAAACCCGCATTGGCTGAGCACGATCCCAGCTGGGAAATGTGTTGGTAGAGAATCGAGAGTGGACCTGAACAATTAAACATGTAGACCGAGCATAGTCAATCATTAGTTATCGAACAAAGTAAATGTTTATGTATGCAACTGAAAACTTTACCACTTGGTCTTAGACAAAACTTCAACAGCATCTAGTGGGGGTCATGTTATAATGTTGCAGGATTGCTAACTACCTTTACCAACAGAATTTTAGCCTTAATCACCGCATTGTGATAATTCAACCTAAGATAAACTGATCATACATATCAAGGCAACGAGTTTCTAGAAACACGGACTCACTTGACGGTTTTTGATTTACCAACTCACCAGCATCCAAATTAAAATACTTATCAAGGGTTTGGAGGAACTTAAGAGATCATTCAAACTTCAATGCCTCAGAAGTCATTCCTCAACCTCGCATCTCCTTGGTTACCCCCGTTGGTTCCCATGCTGTGTGGAGCATGGAGTCAGCATAAAAAAAGAGATAGTGAATAGAATATTTATTTACCAGGGCCATGTAGCTCGTAAACCTTTCACTCCCAAGATCCGCGTAGTAATAGTCCTTGAGCTGATCAGGCTTCAGTTGCCCTTTGTAGACAACAGTCCTGCGCAAGTAAGAAATAACTTGTTAGATCATTAAAATTCCCGTCGCATGAAACAAATATATGATTCTCAAGTGAAGTAACTACGTACCTAGAAGACAAAGAACAGATGTAGAAATCCTTCATCGCACCATGTTCAAGGTTCAACGCTGCTCGGATAGCAACCATGGAAACCCTCCTCAGGATATACATCTGTCAAATATAAACGTAACAATGTCATCAAACATCCTCACTGAGAACAACAATATCAGTGACCAGTGAATTTCAATGCAAAACAATACCTGTTGCTCAAGGTCGGCTTTCGATTTAGTAGTTGGAGTGAGGAAAACCTGCTCGATAATCGGCTCGGTCTGCAAAGCAGACTTCCCCAGCCCAGAGTTATCAGTAGGAACTGGCCTCCACCCAATAACTGAATGCCCAAGCGACTCAGCAACCTGTGCGCAACAAAAGTGAAATACTGAACATCAACCTCCTAATAAAGATAACTCAAAAAAAAAAAAAACACATAAAACCAAAAACCACGAGACGAACCTTGGTGAAAACATTTTTGCTCTCATTTCTCCGGGACTCAGCTTTTGGCAAGAAGAACATACCAACAGCATACTTTCCAGCAGGAGGGAGCACAAAGCCAAGCTCTTTCGTTGCCTGCTAGACAAAAAAACATAGATTACTTTTGGCTTTAAATCAACAATAGGATCTTTCATCATTTAAACCGATTCACTAACAAATATTTTTGCATTATTTTGCGGGAGATTAAGAATATTATTACCTCTGCGTAGAACTCATGAGGAAGACCGACGAGAATCCCAGCGCCGTCACCAGTGTTGCTCTCACAACCACAAGCGCCTCTATGAGTCATACGTATCAACATCTCCAATGAATCAGTCACCTAAAATTGAATTAAAACCAACAATATATGTCATTTGATCACATCAAATCAGAGATATGTTGACCAATCTATTAATTAATTAAATTAACTGATATATGCGAGGAACAAAGAACGGTACCGTTTTGCGGCTGGTCTCGCCGGATAACTCCGCAACGAAACCGACTCCACAAGAGTCTTTATCGAAGGAAGGATCGTAGAGACCGAGAGGCTTCTCCGGAACACCGGAAAACGACGACCTAACCACCGTTTTCAGCTTCGGAGACCTTCCAGGACCGTCCGATCTCCAGAACTGAAGCGTCTCCGATCCGGATCTCCTCATCCGAGTACCCAGGAAAGGACTCTCGGGAGCCGCCGGTTTCTTCACGGAGCATCGTGCGGTACATGCTCGTCTCCGACCGACGCCAGGCGCGACGGCCAATTGAGAAGCAACGACGGTGGGATTTTTCAGAGAACGGATTGGTAACAACTGATTGTTTCGGAGGTGGAGAACGGAGCTTGAAGAAGCTGCCGACATTTTTTTCTCCGTGAATCGAGAGAGAGTCGGAAAAGTGAGGGAAATAAGGGGAGAATCGATTTTTATACGATATATATATGTGTAAAACAGAAGAAGATCAGATAACACCAAATCTCCACAGAGAGATTCTTCCGGAAATAGTCTTAGATAAAAAATATATAAAAACAGTCCCCGGAGAGAGAAAAGAGCGCGGCGGAGCGAGGCGGCTATGGTAGGTGGCGGCTACGGAGAGTTTGGGAGAGTTTATACATTACACAGGAGGCCAGACGTTTATATTTATAGAGGAGAAATGGCTTTAGAAGAGATCAAAATTTGTTTCGCTTTTTTAGATACAGAAAATTTTCACTATATTAATCTTTTTTCATTTGTTTTTTGTTTTACTTATTATTTTATCCAACAAATTATTTAATTAATATGTAATTTCGTATTATTTTTAATTCTGTTATTGGTTGTTACTCTTTACAGCCCATGAATAATATTAAATGATTTAAGCTAATCATTAATTCTTGATTTAAAAATTAAAAATAAAAAACTATTGATATTGAAAATTTACTATTATTTTTGATAAATTATTCACTAATTTGGGATTTTAATTTATTTTTCACATCAATTTTTTATTTTATTAAATCGCCATATATTCATGTACTATTGTTTTTTAAAATGTACTTTTTTACTAAGCTAACATCTAACTTCCAGATTGTAATATAAACAAAATATTCCAAAGTATGACAAAACGTCTGACTATTTCATGTTATTCAATATTTAACATTAAAAATTGTCATAGAATCTTATACTGTACATAGAAAGAAATATTAAAATACACACATATAATCTAAAAAGAAGAAGAAAAAAAAAAGAAATAATGGTATCATATAGAAAAAAATCAAATGCATGAAACTAAAACAATAATCAAAAAGAAATAATTTTATAAATGGATAAAATGCTGAGATTTCTATATTATGTGGGGCTCAGTACTGAAGGCTACGTGAATGTGGCACAAGACAACCGCTTACTGTGGGTTCCACCGTAGACGAATACTACCCTGGATGGCTACGTTTAGGTCTGAGTTTAGGGTTAATACAAACATTAATCGGCCACGAGTCTCCGCAAAACACACTGTTATTAATGTGTGAGGTCAATATATACTGAGACCTGATATTGCAGCCTCGTAATTATCTAAATTAGTTAATTAATGAGAGATTTTTTTACTTATTTGATTGGTTCCTATTTCATAGTCAAGCTTCAGTTATAAATGTAAAAATTAGTAACGGAAAGTGGACATGTAACGTGACGTTATTGATGACGAATGATTTGTTGAATTTGAACAGCACCAAGTTTATATTTTATTTTCTGTATGCGGCCAACTGTAATACTTTATAATTTATCTTTGCGACATATATAAATTATTTTCAATTCTAAAAATGCAATAAACATTATAAACAGTAACTAATATAATGAATAATTGACTACAAAAAGGGTTCTACATTTTCAAACTTATGCTTTTTAGTCTTTTAAACTGCAAGACGCTTCTTACCGATTAAATTTTGCTATATTTGGATATACCTGGTAATATCAAATTGTGAAAGATTCTTTAGAAAGAGTACAATATTTACTTTGAGATCTAATCAAAATAATATCTCCCATTAAACTCGGGTTATAGATTGAGAATCCACAAAAAGTTAATTCATTAATCCACTTCAATTTTTAAAAACATTTTTAAAATAAGATTATTTCCAATTTACGTGAATGGTTTAGCCATCTATGCTGGTCCCCTTTAACAAAAGCCAAAAAATATTTGCTAGCCTCGTCGCTTTCATTCCACTTTCTTTTTATAAAAAAGGTAAAGTGAACCCTTATTAGACCAAAAAAAAAAAAAAAGTAAGCTTGAAACATGTTATCACGGCCTCCAACCGCCGATATAGCAGTTCTACAGTATGTATAAATCTCAGATGTAAATTATTCAAGTAATGTTGATTTTAATCACTTGGACTTCCATTTTTGGATTTTTTTTATTACGTAGTAGTTGTTGGAATGTAGATGAATAAGTTCGACAGGAAGAAGAAAAAAGTAATAAAATAAGTTGAGGAAAATGACTCAGAGCGATTACTATGCAAACATTTTTTATGATTTTATGATTTTGTATTTAACAAAATAAAATGATTTATTTTATGAATATATTTTATCTAGTACGTTGTCATTCAGTAACACATGTTAGTTCTTTAAAAAAAAACACACACATTTAAGTTCTTACCGAAAAGTCAAAAAGATAAAGTTCTTACTGAAATTTGGATGAAAATCAGATAAAATTTGTTTCTCACAAAAGAAATCAGATATACAGTATAAATTAAGAAAAAAAGAAAAAAAACGATTCAAGCAAATGTTTTTTTGTCTTAGGGTTTTTTCCATTTACTTTTTTTTCAGATATACAGTATGTGATGTTACATGCAACAGTGTAATTCTAGGAACACTTACGAATTTTGTTCTCAATTGTTTAACAAGAAAAAAAAATTGAATGAATTTTATTTGATGGGTTTGCTATTAAAAATATAAATCTAATTATAAAACTCGGTTTTTCCAAAGGGGGCCGATCCCTTGCATGTGCTAATCCTTCGTTTCAAATTCCTTTTGAGATGAACGACTATTCTTTAAATCAAAAATTCGGAATATCTAAAAACTTACTCCATTAGAAAATTTTATGAGCCGAAAGCTTGGAATTCTCAAGGTTTGTTAAAAATAAAAAAAAGAAACTCAGTTTTTACCATGATTGACTTATCTCGGCATGTTTTCGATAATCCATCTGAATTATTCGACTCTGAACGTTAGTATAATGAATTATTATTATGAACACGACCAAAAAAAAATGAATTATTATTATGAATGCATGTAATCTTGTTACAAAAATAATCGAATGACATGTTTATTTCAACATTAATCAACTAGACAATACTGTCAATACAACATGAAACATCTGTTTATAACAAAAAAAAGTTTTATATATATATCAATTCTGCCACCAACCACATGTCATTAAAATGCTAGGTAGGTAGAACAAATGGTGAAGCTAGTACTATAGATACAAAAAAAGTGACTAGTTAATATCTAGAAATAGTTAACGAATAAGCTTTTTGCATTTCATATATAATTTTATTAAATATGCATGGTTAATTTCCATCATATACATTAATCGTTACATTTTTAGCTATGGAACTATGTTGTATTTTATTTCATTTTTAATAATAACTAGAGACCAGACTGGAAATTAGCTAATATATGAGGCCTGTGAAAATCTGGTATTTTAGCAACTTAAGCCAAGAATAGTCTACAGTGATAAACTATAATTGATGAAAATGCTATAATATTGGTATCCCAACTCCCTAATGATTCTTTTAACTACTATTATTCATACCGATAAATTACATTGTAATAACTATTAAAATGTGAAACTTTGAATATAAAAAAGTTGGATGTTAAAAAATTATATAAATGATATATATATATATATATTTTCTGTTAGATCAAAAGTCAAAAATTCAAAATAATAATTTTTGAATGTATAGGTTTTATTGAATACTACGTGAATATCCGCACATACGAGTTTTATTTTCAACTATTTGAAATTTATATTTTTGGAAAAATAAATATAATCATCATTTAATATGTTATTATAAACTATCTTACAAATAACATTAAAATATATATTGAATATTATTAAGTAATCTAAAATTATATAAAAATTTAATAAATATTTATCAAAATTTTTATTTAGTTATAACATAAATTTTTGTTTAATATTTACATAACTATTATTTAAGAGTCAATTAACAAATAAAACTTTTAATTTTTAAGTAGTTTTAAACAGTAAAATTTAATATTAAAATTTAAGTGGACATGTGTCACTCTCTACACTGCTGACGTGTCAAAAATTAAAGAGAATTGATCCCTTTTTATATATTGGTCCATAGGAATTTCTGAGGTATATCAGAACTGTAAACGTTGTTTTTTATGTAGTTTTTTCGAAGAAATTGTTTATTTAAGTTAAAATTTTAGGGGATAGATGACAGTCTGTCCTGTGCTCACGTGTCAAGCAGCTGGAGAGATTTGATTGTTTTTTATAATATAGATATATATATACTATTTTCTATTTATGATGTATCTAGAATTGTGTTTTTTAGACAAATAATAAATTCAAAAGAAAATAATCTGCAATCAAAATGGTAGATCCAGAAATTTGAAGAATATTTTGTTCATATTTCGTTTCGGAGTTAAAAACATTGGCAACTAATATGCGTCATCAACAATAGTCTAATTACCATCTAGAATCATACGACCCGATCTATTTAGCAATTCACTATAATCTTTAGGTTTTAACTTTTAATAGACAAATCAAGAACTCCTATGATTTATAAATTTTCCGACAAGCAGTTGACGAAAGGACCAAAGAGGTTAGGCAAAGCAAGTTATGAAGAGAATATGTGTTTGCCTAACTATAAAACGGCCAGATGATCTTACCTGTCGCACGTTATGGGCAAAAGATTTTACAAAAACAAATCAATGTGACCATTCCTACGATTCTGTCCATTTCATCAATCTTACACCATACCACGACAACTTAAATTAAGACGTCTTCTTAACTTACTCCACTTTTCTTTTTCTTTTTTCTTCACAGGTAAATATAGCAAAAAAAAAAAGCAAGAGAGTAATCATTAAAAAAACATAAATGCCATCGACATAGATGTTACGTTTGGGGGCTTTTAACACGCTGGCGGAAATATATATTTTTTCAAAAACTATAAAGTGTGTAAATTGGCAGAAAATAACAACTCTAAAATTACAAAATGCTGGAATGGATGTACATTATATTTCTACAGTTCTGATTAGTTATATCTGCAGGAGGAAAAACAAAAATCTAAGTTTGCAATAAGAAATTCTGCTTTCCGACTCTGACTATTCTGATTTTCAAAAGTAACTAAAATTCTTGTTTTCTTCACAAGGTGAAAGAA